TGAGGAAGGAAAACACATATTTACCGTTATAGAGTATTTACCGTTAGTTGGGACTAATTTATGATCGATTTACGCCGTACTTAAGTCATAAGGAAAATACCACACCCTGACACTTGTAGGAAGTACAGCAGATTTTAGATTTAGACGATAATCAAAGCTTTTGTTCCAGGAATGTCATTTGAAAGGAAATGTTGACATTTTCTTTAGAACTAATCAAACATAAAGGGGAAAATTTATGTAAGTCAACTACCACGTTGACGAAACATCGTTTTCCTTATTATACTGAACATGACATTCATACATTTTCCGTCTTTTCTTAATGCCACTCAAGGTTTTTGTTTCATCTGAGATGTTAGCCAATGATTCTCACTTGTACAACGGGGAGAGTTCTATGGATATACAATTTCTTTATAATTAATTTGAGCGACATTTCGGTGTAGCTGCTAACACCGTTACCAAGCAAGCTACGCCGTCCTTAATAGTGGTGAGGGTTGGGTAGCCTAGTGGTTAAAGCGTTCGTCACGCTGAAGACTCGGGTTCGATTCCCCACATGGGTGCAATGTGTGAAGCCCATTTCTGGTGTCCCTTGCCGTGATATTGCCGGAATATTGCTAAAAGCGGCGTAAAACCATACTCATTCACTCACCTTGATAGTGGCAAGAATCGATTGTCATGGATTCACATCCCACTTTTGCACCGGTTGTGATGTTGGTTTAGTGTAACCATTTTCATGTGGATGGGTTACTTTTAAAGGGTGTACAGTTTGCGTCACTCCGGGCCTTCGTCCCACAAAAAGCAGACACCCGGTGATATAGAATGACCAGAAATTATTGAGAATTTTAGGAATATGTTTAATTGGATTTCTAGTATAAACAACCTTGACCAGCTATCAAGTGCTTGGTTTCATTCAAGAGAGACAACTCCGTTAATCCTTTTTCATTAGTTTGTGAAGAGTTATCTCCCTTTGTTTACTTGCTGGCAGACGACATTTTCAGTGATCCTCAGTATGGATGATTTAGAGAAGAGGAAGTTGATTTTAGAGTATTACAACAAGGACATCAGATCAGCTAAAGTGATTTCAAGTAGAACAGGCATCCCTTTGTCCACTGTTTATCGTGTTTTGAAAAATATTGCAAATGGATATGGCATTGAGCACCAGGGAGGCGCAGGTAGGCCCAGAAAATTGACTGTCGGTGACAGGAGGCGGCTTAGTATTCTTGTTTCTAAAACCAAACGAAAGACTTTAGAAAACTTAAGGATGGATATGATTGATAGAGGAACTGTGGCTGTCTGTAAGGAGACAATTAGAACTGAGCTGCATGCAATGGGTTGGCAGAAAAGTCGAGGAATTCCATCACCGATCATGAAACCTGAACAAAAGGAGCGAAGGTTGAACTGGTGCTTACAGCATAGAAATTTTAACTGGGACAATGTGATTTTCTCAGATGAGAGATCTTTGTGGCTGTTTCCTAATACACTTAAATTCTGGACCAAACAAACTGAAAAACCCCTTGTATCAGCGCCCAAAGTACAGTCCGAAAGTTAACGTGTGGGGTGGCCTATCTATGTTAGGGACAACGCCCCTCTGTGTATTTGAAGAGAATATGAACAGTGAGCGGTACACAGATATTCTCGAGGGACATTTACTTCCATCTGCTAACGTGTTCTATGGAATTTTTTTGATTTTCCAGGAGGACAACGACCCAAAACATCGTTCAAAGCATTCACAGGCCTGGTTTCGGACCCAAAATCTGACATTATTAGATTGGCCAAGCTATATCCCTGACCTAAATCCAAAAGAAAATGTTTGGGGACTTATGAAGGAAAGTGTCAATAAGAAAAATCTGACAAATATTGCTGAAATGAAAGAAGAGGTGGTCCGATATTGGAACAGCATCGACCACGACTTTCTAATTTCTTTGATCAGTAATATGCCCCGCCGCATTGAAGCCTGCATTGCTGCCCATGGTGACTTGACAAAATACTAACTGTTCACCTGTCTTTGAGTTATGTTCTGCTATAATTACAATCTTAAATTCTCAATAATTTCTGGTTGTACTGTATAATGGAAATACCCACTTTAAACCGGCGTTAAACTCACCCGCCCAATAGTTAAGGCGGTGTCAAACTGAGTCACCATCACCAGGGAGCCATGGCCAAGTTTAAACTCCCTGACAAGACAAACAGTCCCAGTGTCAGACAAATCGGGGTTATCTGGTAGAAAACACAAGGTCGGCGTGACCTAAAGGACAAGTTACGGGTGTGTCGCGTTGCTACAACCGCACCGCCTGTTTACTTCGTGATGTACACAAAGCAACAATGCCTGAAGAGTGTAGGGGTCCTCCATATGTTATAGCATGTTGACGGCGGCTATTGAGGCGATGTATTGACACCCGAATATGCATGTGCACGAATGAGTAAGTAATGGCGGTATAGGTTGACTTGAGTTATTTTAAGCTGTTGTGATAAAATTAGACTTTGATCCGTTACCTCGCCATTATGGGTGGGTCTAGACGTGACCCGGTACGCAGCGCGCTTATACATGGATATTATGTGGATATTTCCCACCACTGCCTTCAGGATTTATCTATGATAACTTGTATCGAGATAGCATATCTGTCTTTGTACGTTGTGAGTGAGTTAAGGTTTACTCCGCTTTTAGCAATATTCCAGCAATATCACAGCTGAGGACACCAGAAATTGGTTTCACACATTGTACCAAGGTCGGAAATCGAACCCGGGTCTTCGCCGTGACGAGCGAACACTGTAGCCACTAGCCTACCCCACCGCCCCAATTGTACGTTGTGAAACATATTGACCATTTAGTAAAATATGCACATAAGAACAAAAGAAATTGTGTTCTAACTTGCAGATGGTTCACATAACGCAATAAACATTATTAAAACGAAGAAAGGGAATTGTTTACTCAATTAAGGATGTTATTTGTATAATCTTACCTGAAATTTCCTTGTATGACCTTTTTACTATGTGATAAAACGAACAAGGGGAATTTGTTTTTTTACCTGAAGACGTTCCTTGTATGACCTATTGAACATTTGATAAAACGTACAAAAGGTAGTGTTTTCTTACTGGAAGATTCTTTATAGCTCAGTGAACATTAATATTAAAACGAACAAAGGATATTTCTTTTCTTACATGAGGAATTGTTGCTTTTTTTACCTGAAGATTTTCCTTGTTTAACCTATTGAACATGTAATAAAACGAACAAAAGGAATTGTTTCCTTTAAGAATTATGTTGCCCGTTTAACGTAATAGCATGTAGCAATACGAATGATCGGAATTGTATTTTGGACATAGTGAGTCATTAACGTGATCTATTATACCGTCTTTGAATGATACAAGTAGAAGGCAACATCTGTAGTTACAAGTCCGTTGTGTACTCTACTGTTCGCGTGTACGGGGTTCATGTCCGTGTTCAGATGGGCAATATGAAACGTTTATCCTGTTCAAGACAAAGAAGTATCATCACTAATGCCCGTATGTGTTCCTCGCAATGCGTTGTAAGGTTCACCTTGCCGGTGTTGAATTACGCCAAATGTGCCTCGTGGGTTGAATACCCTGGGTGATTGCAAGCTGGTGTGTTTCCCGTCTGGATGTACGTACGTACGTACATATACATTCATGTATGATGCCAGAAATATTTTGATTACACCAGGTGCAAGTGTCAGGTTCTGTTCAGTCTGTACAACCATTGAACATAGCTTACAGTCCGTTTGAGTCAGAAACGGACCGATGAATTACAAATTTTATCACTGTTCAAAATTGCCCCATAAATATATACTAGTACACATGTTTATCATTTACTAATACCAAGTCCGGACTCCGATAATCCGGATGTCTCGCCTCCCGGGCGATTTCAGCTTGTTACCAATCTATGCCTATATAATTTGCCTCGATAATCCGGAAATTCGGTTTCCGGAACCGGACGGTAAGTAGCTGTCACCAATCAGTAAAATAAACAGTAAATTGCTTCACAGTCCGGACGCTGTAAGTCGTGTTCACGAACTGTAACAACACCGCCCGGCGATGTTTACTTAATTAACTGGCCAACTGGGTTGTTGTTTTAATTAGACATAAAAGCTCCCGACTGAAGATACTGTACATTTACACTTTGATTGACACCACAATACAAAGGCGTGGATGACAAGTGAGCTGTTTTGTGATTGGTTAATGTACTTTGACAGACAGATCCGGTCACGTGGACTAAAAGTGATTTTGCTTTACGACAATGCTGCAAGTCACAAGTGTGCTTCGCTAACTTTGCGAAATGTGACCAAATACCACGTCTCATATTCAACCGATGGATGCAGGAATAATTCGGACATTCAAGGCATACTACAATAGATCGCTTGTTAGACATTACCTCACCTGTGCTGAGGAAGGACGTGATCAGACACGTCGGATCAACATGCGGATGTCACTCGGTAAAATTATTGATGTGATGAATTAAAGCTTTACATTAAATGCTTATTTGTTTTATCCAGATTCGTGTCGTTTTTGTAATTCTTAGGGAAGCAACTTGGGTCTTGATTCAGTAGTCCGGACTATTCGCAATCCGGACGAATTTACTGAGAAACGCAACCGTCCGGATTAACGAGGCTTCACTGTATAAGTCCGTATGAACACGTACAAGGGACAATCAAAATATAGTTACATGCGAGCCTAAGTACATTACCGTTATCGATTACAGCGTTGTGACAAGCTTTACGGGGACTAATATCAAACATTGTGTAGTTATAGTGTTGCCTGGTACCCCCGAAACCCATGTTCGGTTGCCTACACTGATACAGTGTATGACACACATTTTTAATTTTCTTGAATTGTGCTCAAAGCGGCGTAAATCACCTGTGTCTTACTCATTTCGAAACATAACTTCGCCTTTACAGTGTGAATGAATTGTACATTATTGGCCACAGTTTCTTCACAATTGAGTATAAGATCTCTATGACTTGCTTTCATCGTAATTTGTATCATTGCAGGGGGATCTCGGTGCTATGAAGCCACGTCTCACCATATGACGTAACACTGGATAACGTAACAGGCATTGTTCGTGATGCATGCAGCCACGTCATGGCGACAGCAGTATTTCGACACGCTCACCCTGGGGCTTGGACGACTGCTGTCGGACGAACGACACGCGGACGTCGAGGTTATCATAGACAAGAAGAGCTTCAAATGTCACAAAGCCATTCTAATTGCTATGTCGCCATATTTCGACGCCATGTTTTCCTCGGGCATGCGCGAAAGTGTTTCCGGTGTTGTCAAAATGGAAGGCATCGAATCGGACGTCTTCTCCTCCATCCTGATGTACATCTACCAGGGCTACGACGTAGTGCAGGAAGGCAATGCGGAAAACATGTTGAAGGCGGCATCAATTCTCCAGATGGAGATACTACAGAAACGTTGTGAGGATTTCCTCAGTAAGAAGATCACAGTTGACAACTGTCTGCTACGTTGGAGAGTAGCATGCGCGCATGATTGTAAAAACTTACGGAAGGCTGCCTGGGCATTCATTCTTGAACATTTCGAGGAGCTTACATCAAATGAAGAAATCCAGTGTCTTGAGCCTGAGGAGATGTTGGCTCTTGTGAAAGACGATGACCTGAAGTGTCCGAGTGAGGAGTTTGTGTGTGACTCCGTGCTCCGTTGGGTGGAACACGACGAAGCTAAAAGGGCAAACTTTGTCGGGGACATCTTCACATACCTCCGCTTGCCTCTCGCCCAGCCAGAGTATCTCATCAACATCAAGAAATCTGATTTTGTGCGGCGAAACGAAAAATGCATCCAGGCTATAGATAGCGCCAAGAACTTCCACTTGTTGCCTGCCCGTCGCCATGACTACAGTTCGCCAATCATGTGCCCCAGGAACCCGTCTGACATGGAGGATGTTCTGGTCGTGTTGTCAGGGGGTGAGACGCCGAGACCTCCCTACGTCCGATCAACTAATGTTCTAGCTTACAGCTTCACCTCTCGACTATGGTACCACCTCGCAGCTCTCCCATTCGACCCTGGTATTGAGTTTGCTTCCTGCGTCTACGACAACGACATCTTCGTTACTGGTGGAGGACTCTGGCAAACCTCCCTGCTGAGGTACCATTCCAAGAAAAACAAGTGGACACACATGCCTGCTAAGCTCCGTCGAGGAAGGAGGCGACACGCCATGGTGTCTGTGGGGAACAAGTTGTATGTTCTTGGAGGCTACAACAGCGAACTTGGGGAGGGAGAGGGTTCAGAAGACGGTGGAGGAGTACGACATCGGCAGCGGCGAGTGGGAAGAATCGGGCGAGCTTCAGATAGCGGTCAGTTCAGTGTCAGCTGCTGTCCTTGGGGAGAAGATATTGCTGTTCGGCGGGGAGAAGAACGACAAAACGGATACGGCGAGTATTCAGTGCTATGACACGCGGACAAGAAAGACCACCATTGTTGCTCAGCTTCCCATTGCCTGTAAGTTATCCCGAGCGGTGGTAAGTGATGGAATTGCTTACGTGGTTCTGTTTGATGGGAAGGTAATACGGTTCCATGACGACAACGTCATCGAAAACGTTGGCGTCATCAAGACGTTTGAACGTGTGCACTTCGGGTTAATTCATCGCCAGGGGTCGCTTGTGCTCCTGGGAGGTCAAGAGGTCAATGAGGGTCCGAACAGACCTCTCTGCGACGCTATGATGAAGTTTGACATCAAGAACAGAACCTCTCTCAACATGTCAGACAGAATTCCATCTGCTCGTCTTTTGGACAGCTGTGCCAAAATTACCATCGATAAAAGATACTTGACGGAGGAAGATGCTACGTTTGGTTGAGAAAATAATTCCAATACGACCTGGTGTCATTAAATTATTGACTTTCACATATATTTAGTATTGAGAGTCCATATATGTCTGCAGTATATTTTACACTTTACTGTCGAAAGTCCTACGCATCACCAACATTTGTGATATATTGTATCTGGAGACAATACGCAGGTGTATGCATACGATTGCACATACACCGTTTATGTCCAACCTGACACACAGTGGAATTAGTGGTGCCCGTTGGTAGAGATGATCGTTCGGAGCCCGTTGGTTTCAACCACCAAAGTAGGACCCCGTTAAGTGGTGTACGTTTAGAAAACGTCCCCAACTACCGCGTCAAACGCGTCTGTTCAGAAATTATGTGTGAGAAAAGTGGACAGGATCCGCAAGAAGATACATCTACTGCATATACACTCAAAGTGTAAATGTCTTATTAGTGATTGTCAGACTTTACGCAGATTTGTGAATCTTGCTATTTTTACAGAGAGTTAACTTTAAGTTGTGTATAATGTAGAACAACTGCCACAGCGTCTAGATGCACTGCACAGTAATGCTTAGATCCTCCTACACTGACAACCGTTGTACTCTTTGTATACAACCGTTGTACTCTTTGTATACAACCAACCCTTTTGGATTAATATACTTTAAAGTCTGGATTATAGAGGTGCCATTGCATGTAATGAATTTGCTGATGTTGCACTTCTTCCTGTGTGTGTGATACTACCCTGGTCTATTTTCTGTCCACATAGCAGGTCAGAATGGGGATATAGCACGGTTACCGTGGTACCCGGTTGTAAGGATATATGTTTTGTTGAAGGCCTCGGATCAGGAAGAAAGCCCTGTCATTGTTTCAGAGTTTGTTTCACGTGGAAGATGTGTAAGGTATAATTTAGGTTGTTTAATCACACGGTTGTTGGTGTCTAATCACACGCGGGATCAATAATTACTTACACAAACTGATCATAAATGTCAACCGTATGGTTTTCATAGGACGTGCGTGAAAGTCAATAGTGTATCTGTGCGTTTTTCAAACAACGCTGATATTTAAATGTCATAGGGTTTGAAAAACGTAGGCAGGATGCAGGCTTATAATGAACAAATCGTAGATGTTTTTCTCACCTTTGACACCTGATAGGATCTTCATAGAGGATTCTGGCATTACAGATGTGCAATTTATATACAGCGCCTCTGAACGTCGCCACGTCGAAGTTTTATTGTGACGTCACACACAGCCATGTAGGTGTTCTTTTTAAAAAAACAATTGATACTGGTATACTGTCCCAAGTTGTCTTGGGTGAATAAACCGGGTCTATATCCTATCACACACGCAGCTTTCATGTCCTATTTCTAGTATGGCGGAACTGCCCGTTGTATCCGCGCATGCTCAGATCGTAACATTCCTACATCACGCTGACCAACTGTTACAGTTTTGCATTGATGGAAAAATCTGTTTTACTATATTATATTGTTTTTGAGAAGAAAATAAGAAATGATAAATGTTCGAACGCTTGTTTGTGTACGAGAAAGTTTTCGTTGATAATAAATGTTTATTCATATCGGGATAGGAACAATGAATGAGAACATTCATTAGATTCGTCAAATTGGGATATTGAATTGTTGTTGATTTTCGGATACTTTGAATAAAAACGTTAGTAATGTTTAAATTGTGTGAAGATACATCATGTTTAAGATACCCTGTACAGCGGAACCCTGTTGGTCCGGTTCCTGTCACATACAACACCCCTCTTCCACCACTCTGCACACTGTTGTAAAGAGTGAGTGAGTGTAGTATCTTTAGCCTAATTCCAGCACTATCACAGCGAGGAACACCAGAAAGGGGTTTCACTCACTATATCCATGTTGTGGATCGAACCCGGGACATTTTACTTCACAAGCGGTCACTAGAACCACCAGGCTACCATATCGTATCATGTGTGTGTGTGTGTGTGTGAGAGAGAGAGAGATACATACATACATACATACATACATACATACATACAGGCATGCATGCAGGCATGCATGCATGCATACATACATGACCGCCGCCGTGGTGTAGTGGTTAGAGCGTCCGCTCAGAGAGCGGAAGGTCGCGGGTTCGATCCCCGACTGCGTCATACCAAAGACGTTAAAATATGGTACTTGGTCCCTGCCTGGCGCTCGGCATTAATGGGTACAAGGACTGGTCGGCTCGGAGTCGGTATAATGTGTCTGAGTAGGGTATTCATGCTTCACTGCGGCATTGTATCTCAGTGGGCTAGCACTATAAAACCAGCTTCAGTCTGGGCTAGTACAAGCAGCCGCACATACACACGCATGCACGTCGTCAAGCACGACGTTAAACCCAATTCACCTCACCTCACCTCACCTCACCTCACCTCACCATACATACATACATACATACCATACATACATACATACATACATACATACATACATACATACATACATACATACATACATACATACATACATACATACATACATACATACATACAATACACATGGTATAACCCGCAATAGCGTACGTGTGAAACGGTCACAGGTCAACGTGGATGATTCATGGTTCAGACCGTGTGACAGGGTTTATAGATTGTGTCTGGTGCAGTGGTGAGTGAGTGAGGTTTTACGCCTCTTTTAGCAATATTCCAGCAATATCACGCCGGGGGACACCAGAAATTAGCTTCACATATTGTACCAATGGGGGAATCGAACCCGGGTCTTCTGCGTGACTAGCGAACGCTTCAACCACTAGACTACCCCACCACCGTCTACATTTCACATTTATCAGATCCAGACACTTTCATATATACTGGACAAAACAAGTTAGGGATATTGGTATTTTTATGATTGATATTTTATCAGTGTGTCAATGAATAAATAGATCATTATTCATAATTTCAAAATTTACATATATCCCTAACTATTTTTACCCAGTATATGTTAACGTTCTGATGGGATGGCCTAGTGGTTAATGTGTACCCCTGACATGCGGGTTCGATTCCCTGTTTGGAATAATGTGTGAAGCCTATGTGTGGTGATATTCTGTGGCAAACGCTCTCATTCAAAATGAATTTGTACTTTAAATGTCTCTTTCAAAAGGGTGTACGTTGTTTACTTATGCTGCAACAGACGGTCACAATCGAGCTTGCAGAATACGCGCAGTAGACTTTGTTGGAGATTATGGGCGTCAACAAATTTACCGGGGCCTTTCAATGATGAATAATAGTTCCAAGGTCAAACTACCCAAACACGGTAAAAACCTCTCAGTTGTATAACAACAACCTGTAGCTTATTTAAACTCAGCCGCGATCACGATCTGAACACACTAAACAACTATAGGTTAAAGTACTTGGACGAACATTCCCGAGGTCATCCATCAAAGTACAAAGTGCAGACTTGACAACCTAGGTTTTTTATCTTGACAGAGTTGGCTACTGGGCAAGTAACCCTCCTCGAAGGTTGTACTCATAAATTTAGGTGTAAGTCTGGTCATAGACTAACGTTTAGTCACTGAATATCTATTTTTTTATAGAAACAAACAATTCCTTTAAAATTAAAAGGAGCCTCAGTGAGATGGGGGATTCAGAACCTGAACCTGAGGAAATCTAGACTTGATTTATTTATGGCTTTAGCATTGCAGAAAGGGCTTGGCAGAAGGGGAAATAATGCGGATCAGGGACTGTGAGACAGACTAGTCCGGATATTGTACATGAATGTTAATAGGTAGCAAGTCTGGCTGCGGGTAGGTCACTTGTACAGACATCTTAAACAGGAGCAAACTAAAGATGGTTTTGTTAATTAAACTGTGATATTTTCATTGAATAAAATATTGCATTTCAGGAAGAAAATAATTAAACTTAACTTATTCATTATTTTCGCCTCTTCACTAACACTTCTACCTAAAAGTTCCCAATGTCATATATGTTTGTTTATAGTGTATTAAGACTTATTTGCAGCGAAATATTAAACCATCAAAATAAGTTTTGATGACTCTCTATAGTGTAACAGGATGTTGGTATCACAAGACAGTGTAACCGGGTCGACCAAAATGAGAGGACAACATGGTATTTGTTTGTATTCAAAACAAGTATGTTATGGTTTAATAAACATTAGTATATAATTGTAGTATGATGTCATACCATTGTGGTCAATGCATGGTTTCAAAAAGCTATTTAAACAAGAAAATAATCCCAAAAAAATCAAGTTGATGTTTCTCTTTTCGTAAAAAGTTTTCACCAGCTTGCGTATTCTGATGAGCTAAATTTGTACTATTTATTGATAAAGTAATTACAGCTTACTATGCGGCAGTCTTCAGATCATAGTCTACTACGTCCCGAGACCCCCATATTAGCCCTGGGGGTCGGAGAGTGGATGAGGGGGTCGAGGGTTGAATTTTGATGTGATATGATAACTTTCATATAATACCCTTTTTATCATGTACCATAAAATTAAGCTGTACAATATATCTATCTGCAAAAGCATGAAATACATGTTTACCATGATTGGAAGGCTTTGTCACCGGACAGTCGGCCGAGCAGACGACACATTAAGGGAGGTAACTCCAATTTCCTACCACCCGGGATATCGCTCACCCATTCCAAAACCACTGACAAGGCATATCAGCCGAAATGGGTGTAATACGGGTCAGGTTATTCCAACCTGTGTGAAATGACCATCTATGTGTTGGCTCTGTCGCACATGCAACTTGCCTCGTATCTTCGAAACGTATATGACAGTGATGTTTTTTTATATTATTGTTTAAATAACGTGTATGTTAAATAAAGCTTCTTCAGCTATCGCCAAGTGGAAATAAAAGCAACAGCGAGGAGGAGTTTAGTGCTGATATGAAAGCTGATAAAGACTGTAAAGACAGCTCTATTCTCAAATGAAGTGGCAGAAGATTCCACCCAGAGGACAAGTTCCAGTCCTAGCATGTTCCAAAATATGTTCATTCGATTTTAGCTCGGATAGCCCATGTGTTCTCTGAGCAGACAACTCTTACATATATTTTTTTCAGCTTTATTTGATCTCGTCGTTGATGTTGGCTTTATTCAGCGTTCGA